GTTCCCGCTCCTCCCCTACCCTGCCCTGCCCTCCCCCCCCAGGTCCGTCGTTTCATTTTCCTACGATAGATTAACGAGTCCGGATGCAGTTATGTCACTGTCCGCAATGCTAGTCTGATAAATTATTACGGTTTCTCTTGGCAACTACAACCGGCGGCGGCGTCGTTACGCCTTCATTATTTAGGGTGCAATTTTCGATCCCGAGGGGAAGGATCTCTGATTCACGCGCCAAGGCTTTTAACATTTAATTCGATATCGACTCAATTTTTTTTCGACTCTGGCAGAAAGGCTTCAATTTAGATCCCCATCCCCCTCCCCTCCTAAGATCCCTTTAATGGCCGCGAGCTTAAAAGGCCGGGAAATTTAATTTGTCCGCTTAACTTCAGATTTCTCACGGAAGGGGCTGTGATTTAAGGAACGGTGCTTCCGATAGTAATCCATCCCGAAGGATCGACTAATTTAATATATCGGAATGCCGAGGTTAGAGATTAATTGACGTATGTGCCGAATCTCTTATGTACCCAAGTCCCGTGTGCTATGTGCCGTAAGTACTACATGCAGCACATATCCGCCGCGCCACGGTCTGCGAAATGTATTTCGCAGGCCAGGTGCATCGAGATGCACCGAGATGCGTGCAACCGCAAAACGCAGGCCATTACGCTTGCATCCCCCCCTCTCCCTGTCTGTCTCTCTCTCTCTCCTTCCCTCCTTCCTCGTCTCCTTCCTCTATCTATCGATCTATCTATCTGTATCTCTCTACCTCCTTTTCTATCTCTTTTTTCCGTAGACGTCACGATAATCCGCATGGGAATTCCGAAATTTAGCCTCGCGAAGATCGAGCCTGGCGGCTACCTTCTGAGAATTCACGTCGGTTCTTATCGGGGCACTCGGGCTTGTCGAGAACTTAATTAACGTCAGTCGAACTCGGTCAGTTCCGGGGGCTCGACCCCTTCCACCCTCGTCTTCTTTGCGTCCGAGTCGCGAACCGCCTTCCACGCGATTTGTCTTCCCGCTGTTTGCGAAACACTCGACGTCTTTCTGCCCACTCGACGAAATGGACGAGGGAACCGCGATTTTCCTGACGTGATTATTTCTCCTCTCCGGCCCTCGATATCCCGATTAATTTCAATTGGCTGCCCATATTGCTCCTTCGCGCTTAACAATCGTTGCTTTATGCGCGCGGCATCGCAATCGTATGCTAATTAATTCGCCCTCGACTGAGTCGATACTTCTTTTATTATTGATTCTTAATCCGGGTGTAAGTGGGAGTTTCGAGCGTCGTTTAAGGGTTAATAGGGAATTCAGCCCCACGGGGCTCACGACGATTAGTCTTTCCCTTCGACGAGAGACGCGGACTAATTGTGCAGATTGCCAATTACGCCAATTCCGCGGGAGACCTCGTATTACCGTTTCAAGTTGGTACTTGCCGCGGAGAAATTGCCGCGACGAGACGAAAGCTGGACGAAGTAATGTATGAATGATGCCGAGGAATACGATTATACACATATCTTGCGCGTTAAGTACAACCAGACCTCGTTCTCGCATTTTTCTTTCATCGTGACTTCTTTCATAAGAAATTGTTGCTTTACATTCTGATGTCTAACGCGTGCGTCGCCGATTGAGATAAAACTTCGTTCTTGCGCTCTCCTTTCGTTCTACGCGTCATATTAGAATCAGTCTTAATTTGATAGTTTTTTTTACTTCGAGTTTGAGTTCTTTCGACATTAGCGATCTCGAGAATCAAGTTCCCGGAGTTTTGCCTTCAGGACGAATGCACCCAGTCGTCTTATCGAAGAGCGTAACTTGCGCTGCGCGTTAACGAGTAAGTATAATTAATGCCGTTCCGGTTGTAACATCAGATAGAGGTTTCCTCGAGCTTGGGAACCCGAGCGAACCCAGACGCCGAGGCTTCGCGAGGTCAATTAATCTCGATCGATTTTGGCAAGGCTCCTGTACGATATTTAAGGTCGCGTCGTCGAACTTAATCTTTTAATTCAACCAGCGCCACACGAACAATAATTAAGAGTCTAACTGTATAGAGAAATTTAACCCCGATCGATTTTGGCTCGCCCTAAGTGTACGATATTT